ACATATGATCCATATAGCCGACCACACCTAGTGGGAAAAAGGTGATTGTTGTTGTTGTTGTTGTTATTGTTGTGGATTATATGTTTTTTATTTGGAAGCAGTTCTTTATACTGTTGAATTCCAAAAGCGAGGCCTTTCACATGCACATATTTTATTCTTGATTCACCCAGAAGACATGCTAACCAATCCGGATGATTTTGACAAGGTAATATCGGCAGAAATCCCAAGGAGGATGGTCCTGAGCTTCATGAACTTGTGAAAGATTATATGATGCATGGTCCTTGCGGGAAAGTGAGACCAAATTTCCCTTGCATGGACTAAGATGTATCCCAAAGATTTTTATGAAGTTAGCTATGTTGATGATAATGGATTTCCTGATTATAGGCGGCGTGATATTGGTGTAACAGTGTTAAGGAACAAAATTAAATTGGACAATTGTTGGGTTGTTCCATATAACGGAAAACTTCTCAAGAAATTTCAAGCTCATATAAACGTTGAATGGTGCAATCAGACGCAAGCGGGAAAATATTTGTTCAAGTACATAAACAAAGGGCCGGATAGAATAACTGTTGAATTTGAGAATCAAGATCTACTTGAATTTGTGAAAAAACGTGATGAAGTTAAAAAGCATTATTATTGTAGATATATTTCAGCGTGCGAGGCAATATGGAGAATATATGGTTTTCCTATTCAGTATCGGACGATGCCAGTTGAGAGACTTTCTTTTCATCTTCCAAATGAGCAATTTCTGATCTTCAAGGAGGGAGCTGACATTGATGACGTTATGGATCCTTCAGGTAAAATTGCACTTATGTTTACTGAATGGATGGAATGTAATAAAATATATCCATAAGCTAGAAATTTGACCTACATTAAATTTTTAAGCAAGTTTGTGTGGAATAGGGAGTTGAAAACTTGGGTACCTAGAAAGAGAAGTTTAAATATTGGTCGACTTCATAATGTTCCTTTTGGATATGGTGATATCTATTACATGAGGATGCTATTAAGTGTAGTCAAAAGCCCGACGTCTTATGATGATATTAAGACTGTTAATGGTAAAGTTCACAACAGCTATAAAGATGCTTGCAATGCATTGGGTATGTTGGAAGATGATCGTGAATATATTGTTAGCATTGAGGAAGCAGCTAAGTGGGGCAACTCGCATTATTTGAGGGAACTATTTGCTAATATGTTGGTTGGAAAATGTCTAACTGATCATGCTCGTGTGTGGGAAGCGACTTGGAGGCTTATGGCTGATGATATATTGCATAAACGAAGAAATTGTGCGGTCTTCATTCAAGTAAGTTTTTTACATGCACTTTTGAATTATATATTTGTTTTATTATACCCATTGAATATTTAAATTTTTATATTTTTTTTCAATTTAAAACATATTGCGTAAATCTTTTTTTTTTTTTTTTACAATTAGGGATTCAATTGTCTGAGCAAGAATTGCATAATTACGCATTGAATGAGGTTGAAAAAAATCTGAAAAAAAAACGGGGAAGAGTTTGTAAATATATGAACAGATGCCATATTCGCATGATTATATCGATCTTAATGTCGGAAATAATTTGATGAATGCAGAACTTCAATATGATAGACAATTGTTGGCTAAGGAACATGATTATTTGCATGCAAGCTTGACAGATGAGCAAAGAATTGTTTATGATAAAACCGTACATGCTGTTAACAATGATAAAGGTGGTGTTTTCTTTTTATATGGTTATGGTGGAACTGGAAAGACATATATATATGGAAGACATTGTCTGCTGCATTGCGTCGAAAAGGTGATATTGTGATGAATGTGGCTTCGAGTGGTATAGCTTCGCTTCTTTTGGAAGGTGGTCAAACGGCACATTCGAGGTTTAAAATACCTTTGAACCTATATGATTGCTCAGTTTGCAAAGTGGAACCTGGAAGTGATTTGGCCCAGCTTTTTGCACGCACTAAGTTAATTATTTGGGATGAAGCACCCATGATGCACCGTTATTTTTTTGAAGCTTTGGATAGAACATTAACGGATTTAAGTTGTTTTTCTGCGTCGGGAATAAAATGACATCCATTCAGTGGAATAGTCACAGTATTTGGAGGAGTTTTAGACAAATCTTGCCAGTTATTCCAAAGGCATCACGTCAACAAATTGTTACTGCTACAATCAATGCTTCTATGTGGCTTCGAGTGGTATAGCTTCGCTTCTTTTGGAAGGTGGTCGAACGGCACATTCGAGGTTTAAAATACCTTTGAACCTATATGATTACTCAGTTTGCAAAGTGGAACCTGGAAGTGATTTGGCTCAGCTTTTTGCACGCACTAAGTTAATTATTTGGGATGAAGCACCAATGATGCATCGTTATTGTTTTGAAGCTTTGGATAGAACATTAACGGATTTAAGTTGTTTTTCTGCGTCGGGAATAAAATGACATCCATTCGGTGGAATAGTCACAGTATTTGGAGGAGATTTTAGACAAATCTTGCCAGTTATTGCAAAGGCATCATGTCAACAAATTGTTACTGCTACAATGAATGCTTCTCCCATCTGGGCAAATTGTGAGGTACTTAGACTTACAGAAAACATGAGACTTCGTCAAGGTAACAATGTAAAATTATCTGCTAAGATTAAGGAGTTCTCTGAATGATTGCTTAGGATTGGTGATGGTAAAGAAGAAGAATCAAATGATGGTATAGTGGATATTGATATTCCTGAAGATATATGTATTAGAGGTTCAGGTAATCCTATTTCTACTATTTGTGACACTATTTATCAAAAACTAGTAGATTGTTTGGATGTTTCGAATTTCTTTGATGAAAGGGTCATTTTAGCTCCAACACACGATGATGTAGATGCTATTAATGATCATATGCTGAAACTCTTAAGTGGAAGTGCAAGGACTTATTTTAGTTATGATAGTGTTGGTCAACAAGATAAGCCTCCAAATAGTGAAATAATCCGATGTATTCTGTTGATTTTCTCAATAGTATTAAATCTTCTGGTTCACCAAATCATAAAATATCTCTCAAGGTTGGTGTTCCTGTTATGCTTCTTCGAAATCTTGATCAGCCAGGAGGGTTATGTAATGGTACAAGACTGCAAGTGCTTGATTTGGTAGAACGAGTCATTCATGCGAAAATAATTTCAAGCACAAATATAGGAAGAAGAGTGTTCATTCCTCACATGGTGATCGACCTCACTGATAAGAGTTTACCCGTTAAAATCAAAAGGAGACAGTTTTCGGTTATTGTTTGCTTTGCAATGACTACAAATAAGAGCCAAGGTCAATCACTTTCAAATGTTGGTTTATACTTAAGACGTCCTGTTTTCACTCATGGTCAATTATACGTCGCTCTATCTAGAGTGAAATGAAGAAAGGGTTTAAAAGTCCTCATTTGTGACAAGGATAAAGAGTTTGGATGCCGAACAACTAATGTAGTTTACAAAGAAGCATTGGATAAAGTTTGATTTAGAATGTTTTATTTATATTTTCTTTTTTGAGACTTTGTTTTCTGTTTTTGGATACATCATTTAAAGTTTATTGATCTTTACATTTTTCCACAATTTAAATAATGTATTCTTTACCTTTTAAACGTCTTTGAATAGCTATATATATTCAATTTTTCATTAATTCATGTGTTTCGTTTGTATAATATTATGTTTTGCACTATTGATTGGAAAAACTTCACATCCCATCCAACGTACAGGCCACCCACTAGTAAGGTATCATTTCATATTCTACTCATTCACGATTAGGACTAATTATAATAACTTTTCCCCCTTCTCTCTCTACTAAAAAAAACCTCCCCTTTCTCACTACAAACCCACCACGGAAACTCCCCCCCCCCCCCAACCACCATTAACGGGGTTGGGGGAACCATTTCTTATTTTAATTTATGTTTTCTTATTTTTAATCTGTTGGTCGTCGCCCGTTGCCGCTACTTCTGAGATCAGGTCGGGTGTTCGCTCTGTCAAAGCTCTGTTGTTGCTGCTTCTCCTCAGATCCAGCCAATCCAAAAGTAGTGATTAGTCAAACATATACATATTAAACATTGTTTCGTTATCAATTTTTTTTAATTTTTATTATTTTTTACAATTTCTAAAATATAATATTAGAGTTAATTAGTAGGTGTACTAGGGAAATAATCCATCCTCTATAATACACACTAGGCTCTCTCCCGAGCGTTGCATGAATATATATTAAAATGTATCATTAAAATAATTATTAGTTGTGAAAAAAAATATCATGTACGCGATTGATTGTCGATTATGAAATAGAATCTAAAGAAAAATGGATGATACAAAAAATAAGTGAAGAGTAAAAAATGAGGTAAAAAAAGGTGTGAAAATTAAGTGTTCATTAATACTATTATAATTTAATTTCTTTGAACTTAAATATAAAAAGAATATTTTACTTAAATTTTTCTTGTAATTTTACCCTTTAGATTTCAATATTTTTTTAATACAATAGATATTATAGTGATTGAGTTTGAATATAAAAATAATGTATTACTTGGATTGTCTCGTAACTTTACCATTCAGTTTTAATATTTTTAAAAGGTTTTAGAGTGATTCAATTTGAACGTAAAAGATATATTTTGTTTGGATTTAGTTTTTTGTCGTTATTTTACTCGTGAAATTTTAATATATTTTTTTTTACCATTAGCGACTTTAATTTTAATTTTTTAAAAATAAAATATTGAGTTAGGGCTACATAATAATTAAAAATTTCTCTATCGAACAATAGAATGAGTTGAGTTTTATATACATTTATAGCAAGAAACTACTTTTATGTATATGGTTAAGGTTTTTTTAATTAAGAAAGACGTAGTTTTGATTTAAGATATTTTTGAAAAAGGGAAAATTTTTCACCACAATGCGACACCTCATCATTTTTATTTTCTTTTCTTGGACTTCTCTTTTAATAGGATAATAAATATATTGATTGATTGATTTTATTTTTTTGAAAATAAAATATTAAATTAGAGAATAATACATAATTAAAATTTCTCTATCTGACCATCACTGGAGTCGCTGCATATCAACCAGTAGTCCTCATCTATGTGGCGGCTCTTCTTCTCGGTCTCTTCTTGTTCCTGGTAACCCAGGGATCAATCAGGCATCAAAATCAGAAGAAGAAGCAGACTTAAGGCTCCTCCTCTTGTACCGTCTGCCCCCAGGCAAAGAATCTGTGGAATCATCAACAGAAGATGAATATTTGTGACTATTCCTCTCCTTCCTATTCTTCCTTTTCATCCTCCTCTGTTCATCCTCCTCCAAGGACTCCTCCTTGTCATCCCTCCTTCCCCGCTTCTCCTTCCTTGCTTCATCCTCAGAGTCACTGTTCCCTCCCTTCCAACTACTCTTCTTCGACATTCCCCTTTTCTCCTCATACTCACCATCCTCCCTCCTCCTGCTTGATCTGACTTTGGAGTTTCCACTGGACTTCTTTGCTCGTTCTGCGATAATTCTCTCTATTTCTGAATCATACTCAGAATCCAAACTAACACTATCTTCTTCTTCCTCATCATCATCACTACTTTCATCCTCCCCTCTTTTCACTTCCCCCACCTTCAATTTCTCTAAAACCCCCTCCTCCTGACGCATCAAGTCAACGTCTTTTTTCATAGCAGTATACTTACAACTCAAGAAATTCCTGCACTCTTTCTGTAAATGCCCAACCCAGCCGCACTTCTGACATGCGCCTCGGAATTTGTCAGAGTTCAAATTGGTTATCTTAGCTAAAGCCATCAACTCCTGGAAGCTAGCGTAAGCGTTATCAGCTTCGGGCTTAGCAGAAGAGTTAGGTTTAACAGTCGATGATGATTTCCGATTACCATATTTATTTTTCGGGGCGTACGGATCGTATCCAATCGCGCTCTGCCAGATACCGTGAGTTTGCAGGGCTGCGCTACTGTGCACCCGGTTGTTTGGTGGCATACGAACCCTTCCCGCAGTGGCCGGCATCGCGACTTGATGTAATTCAGAAACTAAAAACTAAAATCCTACAGATGAACAAATAAATAAAAAACCAGGGTTTGACAATTGTTGAGTCTAACAGTTAAATTGGGAGAATTAATTGAAATAATTAACAAAAAGGTAAGAGGAAATTCAGAATTTGAGAAGCCATACCAGGTTGTGTGCGGATGACGGTACAATCAGGCTGACTACCACCGGTTAAAGAATGGAGGGAGAGAAAGTATCCCCTCCCTCTTTATATAACGGAGAGCAGAAATCCAGACCCGGAAAGGAGAAGGAGGGGGCAGTGGGCATCACCGGACGGTGTCGTTTGGGGAAAAGAGCGGTTCTACCTTATGCCGGTGAAACTGGTCAGAAAAAAAAAGGGAAAAGAGCGGTTCCGCCTTTTATTAGGTCACATTTGATCCATCAAGATTTCTATCTGGGCCGGATATGTCATGAACTCGAGGGTTAGAGCAGAATTACAGAAAATTGTAGGGACCAAGTTATAAATTCCTAATGTTAGTTTGTTAGACAGCCGGAAATATCTGTATTGATACAATCGGCGTTGCTTGTAAACAAAAATTCTTGAGTAGGAAACAAGTACTAAATGATCTATGGGCAAATGACACCAAAAAGTTAGAAGGAGCTGAACGGAAAAGGAAGAAGATGGCGCCAAGGCCACTGTTGGGCTTTTGTTTAAAAGAAATAAATTGGGCCTGGAAGGAAATTTAATGCTAAATTTTTGGGCCATGTGATTCAAATGTATTATAAATATATAACAGTAGATTGAATCTGATAGCCCAATTTTTACCCAAATTAAATTCTATTTTTATACAACTTATTAAACCAAAGCTTCGACTAATTTTATATATATGTATTTATTTTGGAATATTGTAAAGATAAACTAGAAGACAAATGTAAATATATATATATATATATTAAAAAAATCTAAAAGATCTATATAACCTCCATTGCATATGTTTTGTATTAGTTGCAAGATACTCGTGTCTAAATCCGTACCCGCGTACCCTAATTTCGAGCCCAGATAACATAAATCAAAAGAACTACTAGGTCCAAAAATATTAGGCTTTTAGGAATTTTTTTTAATAATCTATTAATTACGTTTATTTTTTTAGTTAGGGTAAACATATACTACCACTATTACTTTGGGTATTCAAAATTCAAATGCCAAATTTATTCTGCTTCCGAAATAATCCAGCATGATCCATAGTATTATACTAAGAGAGAAACCAGAGGGAGAAAATCAAACTTCTCCCCCCGTTGACACATAGGACAAAATCCTATGTGTCATTTCCTTATAGGTTGTTACAAAAAATATTTACAATAATTACACTAGCAGTCCTTTAAATTTTCAGTTAATAAATTATTATCAATTCTTAATTAAATTATATCAATTAATTGTGTGTAAACTTTCTATTTTACATTCCCTAAAATGAAAAAGAAAACGGAAAATTTTTAAAATCTCAACATTAAATAAGATTCATTTGAAAAAGATTACCCGATTGGCTTGAATAATAATATTACGTATTGATTTAATCATTAAACAATATTAATGATTATTTAAAATTCAAAAATCCATAGTATTATACTAAGAGAGAAATCAGAGAGAGGAAATCAAACTTCTCCCCTCGTTGACACACAGGACAAAATCCTATGTGTCATTTCCTTATAGGTTGTTACAAAAAATATTTACAATAATTACACTAACAGTCCTTTAAATTTTCAATTAATAAATTGTTATCAATTCTTAATTAAAGTAGATCAATTAATTGTGTGTAAAATTTCTATTTTACATTCCCTAAAATGAAAAAGAAAACGGAAAATTTTTAAAATCTCAACATTAAATAAGATTGATTTGAAAAAGATTACCCGATTGGCTTGAATAATAATATTACGTATTGATTTAATCATTAAACAATATTAATGATTATTTAAAATTCAAAAATCTATAGTATTATACTAAGAGAGAAACCAGAGCGAGGAAATCAAACTTCTCCCCCCGTTGACACATAGGACAAAATCCTATGTGTCATTTCCTTATAGGTTGTTACAAAAAATATTTACAATAATTACACTAACAGTCCTTTAAATTTCCAGTTAATAAATTGTTATCAATTCTTAATTAAAGTATATCAATTAATTGTGTGTAAACTTTCTATTTTACATTCCCTAAAATTAAAAAGAAAACGGAAAATTTTTAAAATCTCAACATTAAATAAGATTGATTTGAAAAAGATTACCCGATTGGCTTGAATAATAATATTACATCTTGGTTTAATCATTAAACAATATTAATGATTATTTAAAATTCAAAAATAATAAATACAAAATCATCAATGATTCTTTAATTCAACATTAAAGCTGATTGATTTGAAAAAATTTTCTGATTGGCTTGAAAATGCCATTAATATTGGTTTGATCATTAAACAGTATTAATGTTAAAATAATAAATACAAAATCATCAATGATTCTTTAATTCAACATTAAAACTGATTGATTTGAAAATATTTTCCGACTGGATTGAATAATACTATTACATATTGGTTTGATCATTAAACAATATTAATATTATTTTAAATTTTGAAATAATTAAAAAAATTGTAGATAATATTTTTTAGAGATATATCATCTGTCATAATTGCATACACGAATATCCATTTACTTTATTTTAACAAAATCAAATATAAACATATTCCTAGAATCACTCCAATCGCATTAATCATGTGAATAAAATTATTATGTATATATAAAGTGTGCTTATAAAACTCAACTAGGTTGCAATCCTAGTTTACACCGGAATCTTTTCTTCTTTTTCTTCTCTCTTTTTTTTTAGGATTTATTTTTTTGTTTAATAATCATTATTCTTTTGTGTCAAAAGTTTTTCGCTTCTAACTTTTAGAAATTATGGGCAAATATTTTCTGTAGCAAGGATTTTCGAATGCACATCACGGTGAGTTTCTTTGCCAATCATAATTAATGATTTCAATGTTTGATGTTTTCTTAGGGACAACATGGCGAAATATATGTTGATGATTCGCGAAAATGAAATATATTTAACACGTAGATCAATATATTGATCTATTTAGTTTCTTCTGCAAATAATTAGCGCATAAAAATTACTTCTAATGTAACATTATTTAACTTAGTGTTTTTATATTATATATCAATTTACTAAAATATAAAATCTTTCTTTGATTTTTATTATGTTTGATTTTATACATAATTTATCTATCCCGCACATCGTGCGGGTACCATCTAGTTAGTGTATATGAATCCTTCAATTGTGCATATCTTTTAAGTTTATCCAAACTAGATGATATCTGATATCTTCATACTCTTGTTCTAAAATTCAAAATTTATAAGGCTCTATTTGGTTGGATTGAATTGGACCCAAGAATTGGAATTGGAGGCCCTCAATTCCAATTATTGTGTTTGGCTGAAAAAATAGGGGTTCTGGAATTAGAATTATAATTCAAAATGAGGCTCAATTCTTTATTTTCAATTCTTTTGTGGGAGCAAATAATTGCAATTTGAACTCTAGGGGCTTTAAAAAACGCGGGTCACATACGGGTCGTTTTTCGATTTATAACGAAACAGGTTGAGGGTTTTTTTTTTTCAGCGCCGCACATGCGTTGTTTTTCCTTTTTCTTTTTCGGTTTTTTTTTCCCTTTTTCTTTTGCGATGGGCTTTTCTTTCTTTTTTTTTCCCTTTTTTTTGCATTTTGTTAAATTAACATATGTTTTTATTTATGGTGGAAACGAGGTGTACATCATATTAATAATTATTAATGAGATCTATATATTAAAATTAGTATTCTTTTAACAAAAACTATCAAATGTATAACGACACCCGTAATTTTTTTTAAAAATGGATGGTATTAATTATGGGTTAACATTTTTTTATCAAATGTATTTTGAACTATACTTAAAATTTTTTTCACTAAAAATTATGTAAGCTTTCAAGAAGTCGAAATATATATTATTTCATATGTAATTATATACTAAAAATAAAAGAATAATTAATTAGCACCATGTACTAATGTTAATCTAAACATAAATGAATGGTCTTTACTTTCAATTATATACAAATTTTACACTAAAACCCAAAAAAAAAAAAAACTGAAGATTAAAAATTTAGAAAATAATAAATAGGAGAGGAACAAGGATATTCTACATGTTACTTGTGAGAATTCCAATCATCACATTCATACTTACGTAATAATAAAAAAAGGTTTTCCACAAGTATGTATGTATCTATAAATTATAAAATTGATATATATTACTCAAATAACAGAAGTTCTAATATAAATGTATATGATAAATTTATTTTTTTGTTATCTTATATATGTAAGTAATAAATTGCTTTGATATATAAAATTAAGTATTTATTTTATTCAATGAAATAAAGTACTAAACTATAGTTAGATAATAAAAAACTAATTCTAATTCTAGATTTTATAAATTTATAAGGATCCAAACACAAGAATTGGTATTAGAACCTTAATTCTAGTCAATTCTTAAAATCTTCCAAACGAAAGAATTAAGATTGAATTGCAATATTAATATCTCATTTTCAATTCAATAGTATTGTAATTCTAATTCAATTATAATTCAATCTAACCAAACCGAGCCTAAATATTATTGGAATGTCTTATCTTTAGATTTCGTGGAAATATCGTTTTAAACTTTTTTTAAATGGAAATAGTGACACGTGACCAATAAATTCCACCTGCAAACATATTCTTTTTTCCTTTAATAATAAACTAGGTGCAAGACCCGTGCGTTCGCATGGGTTACGCAATGAACTATATGTTATCGACCTTCATTTCAAATTCCTTTTTAATTTTTGGCTTTTTATGAATAATGATATCATGTTGTCCACGTTTTAGATGCATACATGGTTAGGCTCCATAATGATATCATTTTTTCATGTAGTTGCAAAAAAAAGTTTCAAGTTATTTCTCTATCATCTAATTCAGTTTTAATTTTACACTGAAATTTTTTTAATCGTGACTTAATTTTTTGCGGGAATTAGCCCAATCTATTATTCTTAGATTTATCAAATGCAAGAATAAATTAAGAGTAGGAAAGGGTGCAAACATTGAATCAGTTCACAACGTCTACAATAAACTAACTTAGACTGCATAGGTGCAGCCAAAAGAATAATTTGACCATCACTCTCCAGGTTCAATCTTTCATGAGGAACTAAAATTTGCAAAGAGTGCTAAAAAAATTCACAATTTTGAGCAAAAAATTTCATCTCCCATTTGCGGCATATGTACGAGCTAGTTCTGGAAAGTGACAGCTCACTTGATGCAAATGGTCGTCATAAAACTTTTCCAACCTTAATTTGTCTCTACCATAGCTTTAATAAACTCCTTATTTCAGAGGCAAGAATCACAAGATGGATAAGATCACCACATTAATATGAAAGAATTGAAAGATATATGTGGAAAAAGTTGCATAATGCATAATAGATGTGTTGAGTGTTGTGCTTCAATTCATCATCTATGAAAAACGAAGCCGCATTCGATAATTTTTTCACAAAGTTGCAAGAGTTTTATAAGACCAATCATTTTATGAATTAGGCTTAAGTTTTTCATGCTTAACATTGTCTGGTCTGCATATACTTAAGGAGCCGTTACTACACAAACGTTATTTGGTTCAACTTCTAATTTTTAATAATCTTAAACATCTACTATCCGAGTGACATATTCAAGGATTAGTCATCTGATTCATGATTTACATTTAAAAAACAATGTAAGTGTTCATTACACTTAACCTTCTCAAATGCATATTTAACATTTTCAGTGACAAATATTGGCGAATATATATAAAAAAAAAACTATTTCACTTTCTTCTTTGGGACTAAATTTTCCCCTTATAATATTTCAAAATGCACAAATGATAAGAATTAAAGTATATATTGCATACATAATTTCACATGTAATAAATGTTGTCTAGTTTCAACCTTAACAAAGAAGGTTTGATGAACATTTATTTGGTTAAATGATCAAGTATATTTCAAATGATTTGAGTTCCCTTTTGAATTTAAATATTTTGAAATTTATTTTAAAAGTACATAATAAGTGATTTACGGAAAAAAAAATCGTTCTTTATCCATGACATGTCGACGAGTAACGTGTTAAATCGGAACAAGATAAAACGATGTACAATATAGTTTTTCCAAAAACATGGATGAGAATTGATTTTTGGATTATCATAAAATCAGATTGCAGAATATAAAATAAGTAATTCAAGAAAATTTAGGTCCCAGACAAATTAAAATAGATTATCGTGGAGGAAAAAAAAGAAAAGCATACCGCAACCATAATAGCAGGAGTTCCGGCGTAGCAATTGTGAGGATCTTAGATATGAAAACCTCTGTTTTTTTGTGCCCTCATGGTGTTGGCATAGAACCGGCACTGATTTTGCTTTGATAAAATCTTCACTTTGGCCTACTACGTTCGCTATTGTGGATTCTTCTATGTTAGATCTGAACTTTCTCGAGTCTTGTACGATTTAGTGAAGGATGAAGAGATGCAGTTAGAGTTTTATGTTTTGAGATTATTATAATCATGGAAGTTTTTTTATTTTTCCCTTCGGAAAAAACTGAATGGATGTTTATGGATGATAGGAAGTGGTTTGTGGAAATTTTTATTTTACTTGGTGAAAAGGCATCATGAAATTTAATGAAGACAAGGAGAGAGAGCTACTTTTAAGGATTAAAAGACACTTGAAATTTTGCTAAAATGTGATTTTTGTTATAACGGGGGTTATAGATTTCATAATTGTAAATCCGTTAAATTTGTATTGATTGAACTTTACTTCATTTAAATTTATTTCTATCATAATTAAATTTTTAATTATAGAAAAAAAGGTATAAGTTTTTTTAAAAAAAATTAAAACAAACCATACAATAATAAATCATAAACATCAAAATCAAAAGAAACAACTTTTTTTAGTATAATAATGTAAATCTATTAAAACTTCACTTTTCACCGTCTTCCTTTACACTTGATTTCTGCCTTCCTATACATTCAATCACTGCCTCACTATTTTGCAATCTCATTCTATACAGACTAGTGATGTCTGGTCGCGCAATGCGCGACCCTGGCCCAGTATATCTGTAGATTTTAGAAATGTTTGTATTTGAAAAAAAAATATTTTGCATTTAGCCCGATATATTTTAGAAATTTTTGATGAATTTAGAAATGTTTTATAAGTGTGATCATAGAAATGTTTGTATTTGGCAAAAAAAGAGAGTGTATTTGGTCCGGTACGTTTTATAAATGTTTGAATATTTTAGAAATGTTTTATAAGTATTACTTATTAAATATAAATAAACTTGATCAAGTATATCTCTTGAAGTAAATGTTAGACAAAATATAAAAGCATCCTAATAAGTTTAAATATTAGTAAGATTATTTATTGATGTTCTCCATTTGTCGTGCCAAATCAATACTTGGTTTTGAAGATTTATAATAGCTTTGTAGTAAGCTTCCTCCGAAGGGTATACGTTTAATTGTTGGAACTGTTTCTTCCAAAGGCTTATAGCTAGTAAAATATCAAAAATATGATTTTGAAACTGATTAATTGTTGAAACTGGTTGATCACAAATATGAGAATGAAAATTAATATAAATTTGCATAGGTTTCAAGTTATAGTAAAAAAGAACTCACCTCACCATGGCAAATAAAAAAAAAAAGTAAAAGAGTCCATTAAAAATTGAGAAATTTTTTTTTTCCTGTAGGTAAAAATGATGTATAAAAACACAAATAAACGTAGAAACATCATTCCTTCCCTCTCCACCTCAAATTCATAAAAGGCTTCCCCATAAATTAGTTAGAAGAAGCGACCTGAACTATTTATATGATGAGTAATTTAAAAAAGTCCAAAAACCAAATCTAAAAAAGTATATTCTTGAAAGTCCGAACACAAACAAAAACGCGCTTCATTTGCAAAAATAATAATAATAATAATAATAATAATAATAATAATAATAATAATAATAATAATAATAATAATAATTGGTCAACTGGGAGTATGAAACAAAATCAAAAGCAATTAAACAAAGAAAAAACACAATTCTAACTGAGCATATACGAAAAAAAACTGAGACTCCATAATTAAAAAAAGGAAAACCACTCTAAATGAATAAAACATAAAAAAAAGAACTTAAAAAAACCACACTTTGAGACAAAAACCCAATTGACCAATTCAATTCAAACAGAACTAAAATCATACAAAAATTCTAAGCTGACTAACCATATAAGAAATCACATCATATTACCTGGCAACGGCTACGGTAGCTGTAACGGGTGGACGCATAAAAATAATATAAATAACACTATATTTGAACGGGAAAAACAAAAAATAATAAAAGCCGTACAAATGATCTATGGATATAAAATTATTTAAATTTTAATATCTGTAACGGCACCACCACAACGGCCGAAAGTAACATCAATGAGAATTTTTTTTTTCCTTTGTGTTTATATAAAGAGGTAAAGAGAATATTTTTTGAAGTCGAAATTTTATCTGATTAGGATGTAGTTGATCATCACTAATGAAAGATTGAACATGCTAATAAGGAATAAGTATATGTCACCATGTATTCTCAATTGATGATTGATGAGAAATTTATTTTATTTTTTAATTGTAGAGAAGGGATTGATTAGGGAGTCGATTGTCGTGGAGATGGAGATGAGGATTTGTGTTTTTTTATGAAGTCGTGTTTTTTTTTGGCGAAAATAGGAGCTGGTGGTGGATTTGGACTGCATTTGCCTTTTAAGTCTAGGAAACTCATGTGTAAATAAAAATTTATTTTAAAAATATGATGTGGAAATGCCACATGGCAAATGGTGATGCTTTATGTTAAATGTAGTTTTTGTTTCTAATATAATAAGATATTTACCCTCTTATAGCCTAAGCATTTTACAAGTTTTCAGTTTCTAAAGTATCTCCTTTTTAATCATTTCAGCTTTGCTATGCACATCTCTTCTCTGCTCTGATTGTTTGTTAGGTTTTTTTTCAAAATATTTAAATAATAAATGTTCTATCCTAATATATCTTTTTACATTTTTAATACAAAAAACAACTAAAAACATACACTAAAAAAACAAAACAAACATATTCTGGTTTCTCTTCTGCTAAACATGGTATGTACAAGCATTGACCGATGCAAACAAGACTCATCTCTTTATTTTACTGTACTGCCACATTTTCCTCAGCCTTTTATGACATGACAACATACTCTATGACAGTGCACTTATACCCATCCATCCTTCTAACAGATTCAACAATTGATTAGCATAACAAACATTTGAAAAAATAAATAAAAATTGTAACAAAGAAACACTCACATTCTAATCTCCACCCATATTACACATATCATCGCTATATTCATTCCCAAATTACCGCACAAAATTTGATATTTTATAAAATTATTTTATCAATATTCAATTTATTTAAAAAAAAGATAAAGTTAACAAATCACTGTGATTGTGATTCAACTAAGGGCAGCAGATATGTATCTCGAAATCCTAACTCCCAACACAAAGACATGCTACAGTTACTTATGGATCAATCGCACGGCGATGACATTTACCAAATACAAACTGTCGATTTGTTTTTTCCTATATCCTGGAAACAAATTGTACTTCGATTTCAATAAAAGATGAGAGTGTATAAATGTGTATAAATGTGAGAAAGAAGATTAAAATGTCGAACCAAACTCCAGTTGGGATGAGATCTCAATCTCCAGTGTTGTCTGAAATATAAATGTGTATTTTTCTTTTTTTTTTTTCCTGCCGGAACTATAACAAAAACTTCTGTAATATTTCTTTGAGAAAACAAAATGAGGGTAATTTTTTTTATTTAAAATATCGTGTATGATACTAAATTTAAAATTATTTACTCATATAATTTTTTCCCTTCGATTTTACGTCACTCTCGCAACGCAGGGGCACCATCCAGTAGAATACTAGTAATATACTACTACATAGTGTCTATTCTTTGGACCAAAAACCGGGGAAATTAACGCAATAAACGATCCCAGCCCTTCTGCCAAACGGAAAACCGAAAGCAAGGCAGAGTAACCTCAAACTCACGTGTGCTCCAACAAGGTCAAAAAATACTCTCTCTCGCCCAAACCCTATTTTTCTCTTCTTCTCTTCATTGTCTTCTCTTCTGTCTTGGCGCTTCTTCTTTTCAACTCTTGGGGTTTAATCAGTGTCTCTCTTCTTCGAGGTTGGATCCCCAAAGTTTCTGTTGTTTTTTTTTTCTTTGTATATTGCATGTTCGTGTGGACCCAGCTCGTTTTCACTAATTTGGCTAGTTTGGATTAATGGGTCTGAATTAGTTTGCTTCAACTTGGGTTAATTTTAGGGGAAAATCGAGTATATATCTAGGTTCTATGCCGCGAGTGGATGTGTTTTTTCTGTTCTTCTTTCGGGGAGTGTGCAGTGAGATTTTTCAATTTAAATATGTCCAACTTTTAACGAAAAGTGGATACTTTAATGAGGAGTGTGATAATTTGTTTGGGCGGTCTGGCCTGCTTTTTGATTTGGATTAGCTGAAAGAGATTTAATTTGGGTGCAGAATCGATGAATGTTCACGCCGTTGAATTCGTTAGTTTGCTTCTTTTGCATCCTGTTACAAGCATTATCATATTTGATTCTGGTTTCTGCTAGGGTTTGATATCTCTTTGGTTTAATGTTTTAATTGTGTCCATGTATGTATGGTTTGCTTGTTATTTGCATCCACTTTCTCTTTTGTTTGTTGTGCTTAGTTGATTTGGTGATACCAAGATTAGCTCTTCTTTTCCTCTCCTTTTATTTCTTTTTGGGTTTTCCAGGGTCAGGTCTGTAAAATGACGGATCAACGGTCTAAGGTCATCCACGTTCGAAATGTGGGACATGAAATTTCTGAGGTATGACTATGGATACTCCTGTTACATTCTATACATTCGCTCCTACATTTTCTGATGTTGATACAAGTATACTATGTTCCATCACGCACTTAAATGGTTTACTGACCTATTTTCTTCTTCAAATCTCCTGAGAATAGTCATCATCATTAAATCACAAGTCTAGACTTGTTCATGCGGCTCTACTAGTCAATTTTGATTAAAAAATAAAGAAATTCTTTCAATCTGGAAAGAGTTACTGGCTTTCTTCTTCTGAAATTTGTGAGCTGAGCTCTGTATTTGCTGATTTGACAGTTACTATCTCATTGTCGATTCATACAGTCTATCAATCTGTAGCCTTTAAATTTGTTTCTTGTATCTAAATAATGATGAATTGGTTACAAGGTACTTATCAGATCGAATAAGTATTGATCTAATAGAATGATTAAATTTTGACATTGTAATTGCTGTAGTGTAAATCGGGCCGTAGACACTAAAGTTAGATGCCTAATTTAGGAGTATGCTCAATGTTGGGGATCCAGGTGTCCACAAAGATGATTTATCTTGTTTAGTATATCGGCTGGAATTTAGGAAAATGTGAACTTGAGTTTCGGTTGTGCAACCAGGTTAGTTAAGGCCGAGTTCATTATGTTTATTCAAACCTCTGATTCTTATTGTTAGTGATTGAATAGCAGAAATTTTTGCAGTCGCGTTTGCTTGTTTAGTGGCCTTCCCTGTCATGAATGAGGAATTTCTCCTTCTTATGATAAAAAAAAAAAGAGGAATTTCTAGGGTTAGCTTGGAAGAAATTATTTGTGCCTATTGCTATGGACATTCGATGAATTCCTCTTTTATACCGTGACCAGAAAGATCGCAATATCGGATTGAAAATTGCGTAGACTAATCATAGAATTTTTCGCTGTTGTGAGAATTGTTGCATGATAGTCTTGGAGATTCTCTGTCTGTTGATATTTGCTGGTACCATTGGATATTTGGTCCATATTTTGCTCATTTTAAGCCACAAAAAATACTAGCCAGCACTCTGAATTGATGTCGTGCCCACGGTGTATCATAACGGTTTAGGATATTTTGTCGGGACCATTGTGCCATCTCAAGTATACTGTTGTGTTGTATTCCAAATGGCATGCTTGTGAGAGATGTTGAACGGATGCAGAAGTTTTCTTTCCCTTCTAAGATGAAATTTTGCAATTAATCATGGGCCCATTAAAGGGCAATGCCCCCCACCCCGGATCTTACCATATTTTGAATTGAAAAACTGCCCACAATAGTTTGTCTTGGACCAAATCTGGAAACTGTTTCAACAGTTTCTGTAGCCTTAAATTCTATTACATTTATCTTCTTTAAGATTGGTTGGCTTTAAATATCATTTAGTTTGTAAAGAAAGTATGTTTTGCTCGATCCTTTGGGTTTGACGAATCCAGGCACCAAATTCGCTAAATTTAATCTGGTTCTAGTGATCAAAATCAATTGGGTCTACATTTCTATTCCTTGAACGGTGTCATTTTTGTTGCATCATGTATTATGTGCTGAGACACCAAACTGGTTGACTTTTTTCCCGCAGAATGACTTGCTCCAGCTGTTCCAGCCGTTTGGAGTCATTACTAAACTTGTGATGCTGCGGGCCAAGAATCAGGTGGTTATTTATTTATTGTATATAAATTGTAATTTTTATTTTACCGAATAGTTATTTGCATTTTGTCTTCGGTCGATATTTCCTAGAACTATGTCATCGGTGGGAACAATGAATTGCAAAGCAATAAATTAGGTTCACTTCCTTCCTCTTATGCAGGCACTTCTCCAAATGCAAGATATTCCTACAGCAGCAAACGCTTTACAGTTCTACACTAATGTTCAACCAAGTATAAGGTGATTTCTTGTGTGGACGCAATTTCCTTAATATGGAGTGTAGTGTCTTGAGATCACTAGCTGTCAACTTGCCTCTTTGAACTCCATTTTGTTTGTCCTCCAGGGGTAGAAATGTTTATGTTCAGTATTCATCACACCAAGAATTAACAACAATGGATCAAAGCACTCAGGGTCGTGCGGACGAGGTACTATTATATCACCTTAACACAACTTCCGTGATTGCTAATTCGTGAGGTTTGATTTTGGCACTGTTCTTTGAAGATCTGTAGGCATAAGCATCATAACTGCTGATCTAAGATCATGCCAAAAGAACTTGAACACCATGTCAATTAATTGTGTACTGATCTGTGCCTGCTTTGTTACATTTAAATCAAGAAACCTTTTGGATCTAGAGAATTTGAGAAGTTCTTTTGTATGTTACTCTTCATCACACATAAACAACTGATGACCTTTATTGTTTTTTGTTTAATGATACTTGATAGTGTACTTATTATAGATTTTCTGTGAAGAATAATACAGGTTGGCCTCTTTTTAATTCGATAAATGGATGCATAGCACAGCTTTTGCCTTTGACTGGAACTTTTGTGCTAACTGTGTTGTAATGTTATCGCAACTGGCTTATGATGCTTTGTCAAAAACAACAGTTAACCGGCTTCTGATGTTTGTTGCCACTTTCTTATGCTTGATCTCCATTTTTGGTTTACCTTTTTTCCCTTGTATGTTTATGGAACCTTTTAGTTTTATCTTGATATTTTTTGGTGTATTATTTTATCCTTGTCTCTTTCTTGTTTCAGATGAAATGCTCTGAATGCAAACTCTTGTGTTTCTTTAATCTTTCTCCTTTCTCCTGTATTTCTTCTCTATTCATTCTCTCCACTTCTCTCTCTTCTGTCTCTATGCTGGTGCACCGTCGGGCCCTGTGGATATGCAGCCTAACCGAATTCTGTTAGTTACAATACATCACATGCTATACCCGATAACTGTGGAAGTTCTGCATCAAGTATTTTGTCCCCATGGATATGTAGAAAAGATTGTCACCTTTCAGAAGTCCGCAGGTAAGCATCTTTATGGTTTCTCTCATTGCTTCTTTGCCTTTGTTCAAGATGTATACCTGGCATGTAATTGATATGAAAGCTCTTTGTGGCCATTTATTAGTTTCTTGCATGGCAAAGTGCTTTAACCTATTTCTCAGATATGCCTACTTCATGTTCCTTCTTTTATGTGGATGCTTTTTTTGAGTATTTGCCCACTTGATTTTTACATATTACTGAACATTCTCAGGCTTTCAAGCTTTGATTCAGTATCAACTGCAGCAAAGTGCTGTTTCTGCTAGGACTAATCTTCAGGTACATTCTTACATTGTTTCACAAATTTAATTTTGAAACAGAGGGGCTGAACTGGATTTTTGCTTATGTTACTTTGTAGGGGCGTAACATTTATGATGGTTGCTGTCAGCTAGACATTCAATTTTCGAAGTAAGTTGATATTGTATTTAAAAAATATGAGTATCATATCGTTTGATTTAGTGGATTATTCATTCATATTCTTTCTCTTCATCCAGCCTAGATGAGTTGCAAGTGAACTACAATAATGAACGGTCGAGGTAGGCTGACTATCACTTTAAACCCCTGTGATTCGTCGGTGGGAAAGAAAGAGAAATGACTATTCCATAACATGATTTTTACTTGATGCTGTGCATTTAAAGGTTGTTGAATTTTCCGAGATTCTTTTTCCTTCTGACTGTTTGTTATGACTGTGTCTAGGGATTTCACAAACCCGTCATTGCCTTCAGAGCAGAAAGGGAGATCTTCCCATGTAGGTTTCTTCTTTTTTGTTTTCGTGTTAACGGACTTGAACTTCAAATTATAATTTCCAATGCTAATTTAGTTAATTTCCCTCTTTTAACAGCCTGGACCTGGATATGGAGAAGTTGGAGGTAATCTTTACACCAATCCATTTGTGAACAGTAGCTTTAGAAATTCAGCTATTTCATACTGATTTCCTCTTTTTTATTTTTATTTTTTATTAAGAAAAATGTTCTATGATTTCGTTTGTGTTCTGACGTATCTTCTCTCTGCTTTTCTTTTTCAGTTGGATATCCACAGGTTGGTCCTTCTGCCACTTCTCCTTTATGTTGATATTCAGGATGTATTGCATTTGCATTCTTACAGAGACAAGTTGGTTTTGTTGATTAGGTTCTAATAACTTTTTTAAATGGTAGCTCCATTTGTAGAATGCATATAGAAGGATGCTGATAAATAGGAGGTTAATTGTATATTCCCTTTGAGACTCATTAATTGCCGCGGACCTTTATCCACTGTGGGTGGTTCTAGCTTCTAAGAACATGAGACTGAACCATTGGGAGCAGACGCTATTGTCACTTTAGAAGAAAATTTGCTCTTTTTGTGTCTTGGGGATTATATGGATACACAGAATATAATGCATAGCTGGTGTTGCTTAGTTATCTGCATGATATGGCTGTAAAATTGAAGCTGAGGTCTTTAATTGCAGATGGCCAATGCTGCTGCCATTGCAGCTGCTTTTGGAGGTGGTTTGCCTCCAGGGATCAGTGGGACAAATGATAGGTGCACCGTTCTGGCTTCCAACCTGAATGCTGATGTATGTCTCCGTTCTTCTGTTTATTCGTTCTATCCTTCTATTCTCCTAAACTTACATTATTTAAGTTTTCTTGTGTAATTCTGCATGTAAATTTCTAATTCATTGTGCAGAAAATAGATGAGGACAAGTTGTTCAATCTGTTCTCCATTTATGGTAATATTGTGAGAATCAAACTTCTTCGCAACAAACGTGATCATGCCCTCATTCAGATGGGGGATGGATTCCAGGCTGAATTGGCAGTGCACTTTTTAAAGGTTCTAAACTTCACCTTTTACTTATAAATTAGAGATGTGCAAGGCATAATAAGTTATGTTGGTGATGAACTAGTATATAGGCGAGTTTTGCCAGATAATAAAGTTGGGAAGCTTACAGTCCCTTTCTCTTGAATTCTTCGGTCACAAGCCAATTTCACTACATGACTCTGCATATCTTCATATTTTGTGGTGTTATTGAGTGTATTTAACGTAACAGTAAACCCTATGATGTGAGGCTCACATTTACTTTTTGCTCTTCGTTTGAATTGTGGAGTCAAGTGTTACTTGTCATCCGAGGTCTGAATTAGTGAATTATACGTTTATCAAACACCGGAGATCTCAAAATGCACTAGTTTTGTGTTGCTTGGTAAGTAGTGTTGTTAACTCCACTTTCTTTGGTTAGATCAATTTGATCACAGCCTGTTCTTCGAGTTGAACCTGAAAGACATTTTCTTGAGTTGGACTCTAGCTTTTAGGACTCTTACTGCACACAATAAACCTTTGAATTAGGACTGTTGAGTATTTAAATCTAAGACTTACTGCACACATGAAATTCCATTAGGACTATTATAAATTGATGATTTGAATAACTTTTGGTGTTTTATGGTGCAGGGAGCTAAGCTTTTTGGGAAGCGTTTGGAGGTTAACTTTTCTAAACATCCAAATATTACAACAGGAGCTGATACTCATGAATATGCAAACTCAAACCTCAACCGTTTCAACCGTAATGCTGCAAAGAATTATCGGTACTGTTGCTCCCCGACCAAGATGATTCACCTGTCTACCCTCCCACAGGACATTACTGAAGAGGAAATTCTGGCTCATCTGGAGGAGCATGGGAAGATTGTGAACTCAAAACTCTTTGAAACAAATGGAAAGAAACAGGCTCATGTGCTGTTTGAGACTGAGGAGGAAGCCACTGAAGCCCTCGTGTGTAAACATGCAACAACCCTTGGTGGTTCGATTATTCGGATTTCGTTTTCACAGGTACAAACCATCTGATGAGGAGTTTCTGCTAGAGAGTTGCTTCCAGAAAAGATTGGTTTGTGAACATTAAATGTATTTTCTAGTATCTGTTTCCAAATGATCTCCTTGAACTCTTTCATGTTTGTTCTATACTCTCATTTTCCGTCTCACATCCTTATCTTACATGCAAAATCCTACCGTTTCTTCTGATCTTGTTAAAGCGGTTGAATGCCCGTGCATTATTAAGTTTTTGTAGGAGTAGAACAGCTGGAACTTTTATAATTTGTGACAGTTTATTGCCTTGATTGTAAATATCCTTGTTCTATGCTATTCAGGCTTCTTGATCATTGGTTTTTCCTTTTTCCCTTCTTTGACCTACCCCTAGAAAATTCACCTTCCCCTGGGGCTACTGACTTAAGCTATTACAAGCAATAATAGCATCTTTAACCACCAATTCCAAAAAAAAAAAAAAAAAACCTTTTAACCACAAAGGGGTATACTTTTCCTACTGGAACCTAATTTTTTTTTTCTTCCGGATGCTTTTACTTAGGCGGCTGATATATTGAAAGCAATTTTTCTAAAAAAGATCAAAGTTGCCTTGATTTTAATGTATTATTTCCGTATTTATATCCTCTTTTTTTCTCCCTTTATTTCCCTCTCTTTTTTTCTTTCTTTTCTTTTTTTGGTCGTGTTTTCCCTTTTCGATACAGTGAAATGATCTCTTGCAAAATTTATTTACTAACCTGCTTCCCAAGTGCTCTCTCCGTCCCAAAATTATTGTCCAGTTTTAGATTTCACTTTTAGTTTAAATAACTGGACAATAATTTTGGGACAGAACGAGAACATTAGATAGTTGTTTGGAAAATTCGGGATAAGCCAATTCAGACAAACTTAAATACCCATCAAGATTGCATTTTTTAACCAAATCAAACCCAATCGGTACTAGTTGCAAAGTAATGTACCTTGGTTGCATATCTTCAACACAATAACTAGAGGCAACAAAAGAACTGCAAACTACCACTAACCAAAGCGGTTACAATAATTACATAATTTGAACTTAAATTTTGTGTAAACGCGGAAGATTAACTTAGCAAAAGATTTAAAAGCAAAAAAATTGTTTGATATGAGATAGACCCAGCTGAAATTCAATACAATCTCATATGAACAAAAATTAAAATTGGAAGAATAAGTTGCTCATGTGGATTTGTCATCTAATTCCTTTTCCCGATGCAAATCCTCGTTTGATTATAAAACAATTCCATCAACTGATTAATAAAAGTGAAACCTATAAAAATGGAAAAAACTGCCGTAGGAAAACTTAGCGAACAGTGATGGTTGTAAATTCTACACTTTAAATTGGAATTTAGTTAAAAGAAAATGATATATATAGTGAATAAAAATAGTGATAAAAAATAGTGACTGATATGGATTAATCATGGCTCCTAGTTTTTTTGTTACTCTTCCGTAGAAATTTTATTTTTCCCTCAAAATTACATTTTTATCCTTAATTGATAAATAGAAATGTTTAGTAAGTAGATGGTGTATTTGACTTTTTATTTGTCACTATATATACTTTTCATTTGTCACTGTATATGTTTACTTAGTCACTGGATGTATCATTGCATTTAGTTAAAAAAATAGAGTTTTGAAGAATATTAACCCACTTTTTCGTTGAATATGAAAGTGATGCTTTGGTGCCATGATTTTGCAAGAAGGGGCGAGAAGAAGCGTACCCTTAACAATGGTAAAATGGAGTTGTGGGGAGAAAAAAAAAAACCAGTTATGAAGAAAATCGGAAAAATCATGAAATGGTGTTTTAAATGATTTCATTTCACTATATATTTCAGTACACCCCATATCACAAGTTTCTTATCCTACAATATATTGTACCTCATTAAACAAAATCGAGGAGTAATCTTTTCCTTATACAGTTTCTGTCCTAATGCCCGGCATTGTTTTAATTTGACAAAGTTTACTAAATGCTGTCTGCCCAATCAAGAATCCGATCTCGCAGCAGTTAAGGATGAAAGAAGTCCGGCAGCCTGAGCAGGTAGTATGTCGCCAAACCTACCAACTTGCCCATCTGTTAAAATAGACCCCAGTCTCAATTCCCCAAATCTGCTGCCAACCTGGAGATGCAATGAAAAGTAGTTGTTACATTCTAAGTCACAGGTTACTGATAAACAGTTTCACTCCGTGCATGAAAAATATTTCGTTCAAATGTTCAGAGATCCAATCCCAGTTCAAGGAGTACATAGCGAAGAAGTGCATTGTAAAATGCATGGCCTTCCAAAACACAAGAAAGTATACAGAATTTCTCCCAACATTCCCCGCAAATGTCATGGTTGCTCTTATTGCACATCCATATAAAAATTATACAAGAATGAACAACAAAAGAACTTGACCATTTTGCCAATTTGAAAACACTTTGTTCAAAGATAACAACACAATCTGTGATCAAAGGTTATGAACCAGAGTAAGATGATTAGACCAAAGCAGTCTCCTGCCTTCGAACAGAAATCATCATGAGCATATAATGCCTGTGGTAAACTCTCTTAGAAGTTAAACGGCCTCCAAAAATCACATTCTCTAAAGCAGAGATGCAAACAAGTCTCCTCTGTTCATAACTCATTACCGGATATTTTGTTAACAGATCAAAATCTTCATAAGCATAATTATAAATAGAAATTACCTGCATAAATGATTTCAAAAGAGGCGCAGCCATCCCCAAATTTGTGTTATCATCAATATCAAGGCTCCGTGTCAGCTCATCATTCTTGTAACTACTACGAGCACTCCTTGGAGTGATTTCATCCACAGATGTTAATGTAGATCCCCTCACATTTCCTCTTGAAGACAACACTGGAGCACTGAAAAAACAGGTAATTGCAATAACATTAAGTTACACTAAGCAGAGAAGGTGGGTCATATGATCCTATTTGGTAATGAGTTAACCAGTTAAAACACCAACACCTATCACATATTTCATATCATCAACTGTCAGCATTCAATCCTTTCCCACAATCACTTGCTCCATCACATCATTAATAAACTGACTGTCTTATACTAACTTTATCAGTGGCCAATGCAAGATCATATCAGCCAACCAGCACTTCTAAAAAGAATCATGCAGTAAAGGATACCTTATGGGTAAATATTTGAACCGAGGTACATCAGAGCATCTCATTATATTTGACTCTGCATTAGAAGGAACTTTTGGTGCATTGCCTGTGTACAGCCGATTAAGTTGCACAAAAAATCCATAAAGAACGGCATGCCTCAAGTATGACTGCTTGGCGTTTTCCCACAAATAAGGTTCAAACCTGAAATGAGTACCTTTCCATCAGAAAAGAGTAGATTGCGCAATGGAATACAAAAGATGCATACAGTTATCTTTACATATTAAAATACTAGGGTCAACTTGTATCAAATTTATTATGCTTTTTCCTTCTAATGGCATAGCAATTGAGAAAGGTTAAATTTGAGAAGCTTACGTGAGCCAATCTATGGGATCCAGTCTTTCAGACAAGCGATTAAACAAGCCATCCAGACTCTCTCTAATGACTGACTTTGTTTCGCGTCCCCCCTGCTTGATTCTATAAGGAACCTTTAGTTTTGGTACATTGGAAGGCACAACGTTCTCGGTCACATCACCCCCAGATAAAACATCAGCAAAAAATCTCAAGTCCAATAATATTTGTAAAACTCCTTTATCTGACACTTTCTCGTTTCTTTCAAGGAAATCCTTGTATATGCCAATAACCTAGAATAAGAGTTACATAAAATCAGTGGAGATAATTATACAGCTGCTTGTTGATACAATAAAATTCACCACAATAAGCATATAATAACTGATTATCCAGATAACAAGCAAAACAACTTCTTTTACAAGAAGCAGAATAAGTAGCGGAAAAAAAAGCCTTAAACACTGTTCCTACTACACCACTCAGACTAAACTTCTCAAAACATGTACTTTCTCTATTTGAATCTGAGACATCTTTGCCAAAACTTGCTGCATTCGTGCATAAACAAATTAAGAGAAAGAAACCGAGCTTGTCAAGCATGCTTATATAATAAGACTTCGGCTGGCAGTCCAAGGTTTGTGTAGCAGCTATCAACGAATATGGCCAACCAACTTCAGATTAAGGCTCTCCATGGGATGGCTACCGAAGCAGTTCAGCCCATAAGGGCATAAACACCAAACCTCAAAAAAAAAAAAAAAAAAGGTAGTCCACTTTCTAGCTTCTTTTTTTTCCTTTAATATCTTAACTTATTAATATGGTTATCTGTGGTCCAGGTGTAAATAAGAAGGCTGCAGATGAGAAATTTTATTTTACATATTGTGTCCTAAAACTCATATTAAGGTTTACACTTGCAAAACATGTACAAATACTCCACGATTTAGCTATCAAAACCAACATTCACCATGTCTTCCTTTTATCCTAATTTCCTCTTATTCTGTCGTTAGCCAGGTCACATAATCATCATTCAGACAGAACTGCGCCAGTGAAGTTCAGTACACAATGGAATTAACAAATCATGGTCAACCTCTCAACATAGCATAGCAACTAATCTACTAAAATTGTCATACATCAGTTCCATTTCATGACGCAACAATCACATATCCTTGTGCTCTTTGTTCGCCAGAGCAGAGCTTTCAACATTCTTATATGGCTTAAATTACTGAAAAGTTACAAGATAGGGATAGCAGTGTATGACAAGGAGAAAAGGATGAAAGCATAGCTTCTAAGGAAATATTACGTAGAAAGGCTCTAAAGTTTCTAAAGTTTCTAAAGAAACTATTATTCTCTCCCAGAAAACAAAGTGGGAAAAAAAAAAAAATGAAACACAGTTCCTGGCTCTTGAAATGTTTCATAACTGTCCAACCAGCCATCAGTTTTGGGGATGAACTTGATTCAAACAGGAGTCAATCGAGGATGTACTTGTAATTATAAGATTTTCTTAACTGTACTGGTTTCAGTTCAAACCCAGTTCCTCACCAGTTAAACCAGATTTTGACTAATACTCTTCAGTTTTTACCAAGCTTCTCAATTTCAGTTTTTTTTTTTTTAAAATCAACTCTTAATGAATAAAATGATTGATTTTCACTAAAAGCAAGCACTCACCAGTTAATATGTAACAAAGGAAAAAGCTCCTTTATCCATATGATTTGCAAAAATTAAAGAAAATTCTCTTCTGTCGACACCTAAATCATTCAACTCATGCTGATCCTACCTTCTTGTTTCCCAAATTTTCCATGCCTTTATTCAAACAATTGTAGTTAATCCCATTTTAGCCACCCCACTCCTTAAAAAGTCAGCTAGGAGCAATTTTCCAAGTTTATTCTTTAGATAAAACTGATGAGCCTTTGTCGACTTCAATTGCAAGTTAGTAACATCTTAAAAGTGAGGATAAATTAGTTAATTTGTTTCTACTGAGAGAAAACAGCATAGTTGTTTATTACTTGTGAGGGACGATTTTGTTGATTAACTATTTATATATGGATACATACATTAATACTAGCGAACCAATCTTCACTTGGCGCAAGAAAAAATCTATATTTCCCTCCTCTCCTCTTTAATAGAAGGTTCATAGAAAAAAGAACCCGAGAAGACTCTTAAAAACAATTTTCAGAACCTATATCAACAATCATCCATCTACTGAAATGTCAAACTGACGAAGGTTATGTTTTTTCTTTTCTTTTTTTTCTTTTTTTTTGTTTTTTGTTTCCCACCATCACATTAATATAATTTCTATCAGTTACTTTTTTCCATTTAGGCTGGTGAGACCATAAAAAATGTAGTTTGCACTCATCATTGAAAGACAGGCGTTTAGAATTTCATACATAAAAGACAAACATAACCTAAAGACCACTGGCAAATCACAAATATGACAAGCTGTAAGGTCTTATCGTTGACAAACGTAGAAACATAAAAACATCTCATAGCATGCAATACATACTTTAAAAAATCGCGAAACATACCTTGCCCAACAGTTTTGCTGCAAAACTTTGTAATGTAGCTTTATCAAGTACATGACCACCAACTTGATGAATTTCTTCACATGATTTGAATAGAAATGAGTTGACATATGTAGAAGGCATACAAGGAAGAGATATTTGCATATCTGATGTGCCTTCACTAGGCTGCTCTTGCTTAACAACTATCTTCTCCCATCCCTGACAAAAGTGATTACGAATGATCAGAAGTCTATAAATTCCCTGATAACATTGTTAGGTGGCATAAAGTCATCAAATCTATTATAGTCTAGTCAAATTTTAACAGGACCACCAACAACATACCCAATTTCCCAAAATCGTCAGGGCTTGGAGGGTCAAGGAATACAGAATTTTTGCCTACCCATGTATTTCAATACAAAGAGACTGTTTAAAGTTTAACGGCAACAAAAGCAAATAAATTAAATTCGTACAGAAAATAAGCTCAAGACAAGGGTTCAAACAGTTGAACTATAATGCTGTGAAAATAGTAAAGCTTCTTGAGAAGAGAAATAGAAAACTACTCAGTGATGGTTATCTAAGTTGTGGACTACAGAGTGATACATGAAATACGCCCAATAGTTGTGATTGATTGAAAAAGTTTGCTCCCTCTTGAATTTGGAATCACCATGACATTGGTCTCGAGGAAAATTGCCAGAAGTCTAGAAATAGACGGATCTTGAATTTACCAAACTGAAGTTCATCAGGCTGGGTTATCCCTCAGCGAGACCAAGACAAGCAACAGCAGAGGTATATTGATCATTCAACAATGCAAAAAAAACCTCTTGCACCGATTGAGATCTGACAGCAGTTCCAGCTTCCAATGTGGAGGAAAACACATAACAGTCCCTCAAGAAAGTTCATACCAATTAGATTTTTATGGGATTATTGGCTTTGTAGTGTGAGGAAGCCAACCATAGCAGAATAAAGCAAACACAAATTTTCTGATAGATATCTAACAAATCTAGTTTGACTCAATGCAGCAATACTTCAAATAGTAAGAGAGAGAAGGTGCAGAGAAAAGTTACAAAGTGAGTATATTACGATTCGTCTACGTATTTACAATCATTTGCCACAACGACAAACCTTCATAACAAATTTTCACAAATTTTAAGAGCCTGAATTTCTCCTTGTTTGTGACATTCAAATCTAGCCCAACAAAACTTCTGCTATTTATTTAACAAATTTGGGTGGCAACATATCATAAATTAAGCAACAAAAACAGAAGTTGAATAGTTTCCGAATGACATGCTGCCAGGAATGTCACAGGTTGAATTGCTTCCTGTTTCATTCGCCATAGTCATACTAAACCATTGCCCTTTTTCTTCTATTGATATTCAAAAAAGAATCAAGTATCATCTATTGCACATCTTCCAAGACCTAACAGTACTCTTAACAATCAAACTGTCCAAGAAAAGAATTATTAAAGAAAAGGCCCAAATTGGATTTGCCGAAAGTACAACTAAGTGATGAATCTATTTTGTGATAGTCAAACCTTGACATTTTAATAAATCAGGACACTGAATTAATGATGAGATGCTATTAGAGAGAGAGATAGATAGAGAGAGAGAGAGAGAGAGAGAGAGAGATTATAACGATCGAATTCTCAATAACTGAAGAGCATGAATGACTCACTTTCAGGGGTGCAGTTGCTGACAAGGCATCATCTTGTTGTAGATTAGCCAAAAACGTTCTTGCAAGTTCATCAGAGACCCAAGATATCCACAAACTGTGAGCTCGAAAGCAAAGGTCCTGAGTGGTGCTAATAAGCTCTTCAAGTTGTTGACTAGGATTATCATCTATCCCAAATAAAGCAGATGAGGCCAACGAAGTTTGCCTTCTGGGAGAATCAAACATTTTCTTTTCAGGACTATCACTTACATAGGAATCAAATGATGATCTAGAATACCTCGAAGCAGCTGGTGACTTGAGAGGGATATCAGCAACAGTTTGATTCACCCATAATCTTGGTGAACCAAGTACAACAGGTATATGCTTAGAGTGCTTCTGAAAAGCATACATCAGTCTACCAATGAATAGAGACCTCTGAACAAGTATGCTAGCTGGCGGTTCAGACTCATTTCTGTCATCCACATTTTGCAGTCCCCTAGCGAGTAGGTCTAATTCACTCTTGAGATCTCCCAATAAGGTTGACATACTTCTGAAACATTTATCCTGTAGATATGGAGCCAAATCCTTTAACCTTGCAGAAGCCTTTGGAGATTCCAGAAAAACTAGCAGGTCCTCAAGAACTCTCTCACAGCTACTGTCTACTGCATCTCTGATCCGGCTGACTTCTAACCCAAAATAGGCATTAAGACAGCTGCGAAAATCATTCTCTTCAAGATTTTGTGATGACCCAACCCGTTTGCTATTTGGCTCAATGAACCAAACACCACCAGCATTAGGTCTATTCAGGTAAGCCTGGAGATCAGTATTATCAGGTTTTTGTGCAATAGTACGAACTGCTTGCACCACATTAACCCCTGAGTTCAATCCCTGAAATCCTGTATCAATAATAGCTTTCATCCTCTGAAGAAAAGAATCTTCAAATATATCATCCCAAAGATCAGAATCATCGCCCAACACAAGCTCACGTGTTCTTTTCCAGGGTAACTCAATCTCAGAACCAAAAACACTCTTAAGCCACTCCAAACTGCCTCCCAAGACTTGCTTATTATCCATGGTCTCCCTTATCATCTTCTCGGCTGAAGCAAGCTCTTTCCCACTGCTTATCAAATCAAGCAAGTACCTACCGTTGATATTATTCACAATCTCCTTCCCGCAATTCCGCAACCAATCAGAACATGTTCTCGCAATAAAACCTTTGTCCAACATAACCATTATGGACTCCAACTTTTCCCTAAAGGCAGTCCACAGTCTTACTTCCTCGTCAGGATTTGGGATTCCCCCGAACAACTGAGAAGCTGGTGGTGAACCCAAAATGGTCTCATAAAACAAAGGCCTGTCATTCAGCACCTGCAAAAACAACTCTCCTACTTGCCCTATCGTCACCTGAATTATCTTCAGTACCAGGCAAAACACCTCAATCACATCATTACTATCAGAGTTCACATTACTTGAACAAGCATTCAATCTCTGCGATATACACAACTTTCGGGAATCCAAAAACAAATTCAAAACCTGTTGGGGATCAAGCTCATCAATAATGGCCACGGCAGCGAGTGCATCAGCATAAGCATTAATTCCAAGACCCAAAATTAGAGCATGATCCAGTAATCTCTCTCGACTCCTCTGCGAGATTTGAGCCCTAAAACTCTCCACAATCTGCCACTGATGCTGAAGCAAAGGAAATTTCGACAACACATTGTAACTATTGTTCACAAGAATGAGGTTATCGTAAACATGTTTGGCACGAATATATCTAGCAGAAGACTCCATAAACATGGATTCATCAAGGCAACCCCATATATTCTCCGGGGTATCAACAAGATACTTAACCCTGCAAGCAATACCATAAGTCCGGGCCCTACTAGAGTTCACATTAGAATGAATTGATCTTGGACTGTCTTTAGATGAAGAAGAAAGCCTGCTAACGATAGAATCATGGATTGCCGAAATGTTACCAGATATGAACTCGCAGGTGGACTTCATTTGAACAATGGAATCGGCTGAATCGATGAGATCTCTGTATCGATTGCCCACAAGTTGCCGCAACTCCTCGCTCTTGTCTTCGATCTCTTTCCTCGTGGCAGCCTCGACCTTACGGATTTCAGAAATGGGTTTCGTACGGAACAGCAATTCTGCATCTTGATTTCGGTATCCACCTCCACTTGCACCTGCAGTGGTGGGAGTGGAGGCCATCGTTGGCGTTGTCACAACTCTCATGATGCAAAATATAGATTGCTGACAGCAAATCTTTAGATTCTTCACATCCCTCGAATCGGAAATTCAAGTGGGCAAACCTTGGGGTCGTTCGGCCAAAAAATTTAAAAGAATAGTTGTGGAAAAAAAAATGGGAAATATATGTATATCGAAAAAAAAAAAATAGTGCAAAAAGATAGTGAGTGATGTGGAGATAAAATTTTATCTTTTTCAGAAAATTACATTTTGACCTCTAATTTGTATTTTTATTAGTTACTATTTCATTTCACTATAATTGTCGATGTCTCTATCATTTGAAAAAAAAATTTACTCTAATTTTGGTGGACATAAGTAGTTGTCCCGGATTTGGGAAATCCGAGAGACTAATTAATCAGAAACTCGAATTTCCCTAATCCGAAATAATAAAACATAATAAACTCTTATTTATTATTGTTATTTTGTAAATTCTGGAAAATATGGTCAAAAGTTGAACAGTGATTTCCTTTAAAATATGAATTCCGAAAAATTCAACAAAATAGGTGAGTGAATTCAAATTTAGTAACAGTGATTTCGGATTTGCCATCTGAGTTCATTCTTTCGGATTAGGGTAATCCGTCCTAGTAGATAAGGTTGTTGGATGTCTTAATCAGAGCGTAATCCGGGCGAGACTATTTATGAAACGTTATTCTCAGATTTCCGAAATTCGAAACTGTCGTTATATAAAAGTAAAAGTTGCAGCCTCCCTTCTTATCGGAAATTTCATTTTATGAGAGTTAGGGAAGGTTTTGGCCGGATATTTTCAGACTTTTGGACGCATATTATCGGTAAATGCAACAAGAATCGTTATTCTAACAAGGTTAGTCATTAAATCGATATTTTGTAGTTGTTTTGTTATGTGGTTTTGAAGATGGAAGATTTGTAGGGTTTAGGATTGATGGTTATGAATGTAATGTGGGAATGTAGATGTTGTTGTTGAGTTTATAGGTTAGAATTATTGTTGTTTTAAGAATTAATTGAGTTTAATTTAATAAATTTTGGTTAATTTTCTTTTGATGGAACATTGATCGGGATTTTGGGATTATGATTTTGATTTTGTTGAATTATGAATGTAATGTGTGTATTGTAGGTATTGTTGTTGAGTTTTTAGGTGAGAAGTGTTGTTATTTTCACATTTGATTGAGATTAATTTAATGAATTTTGGTGGATTTTGTTTGGATGGAAAATTGATAGGGTTTAGGGATTATGATTTTGATTTTGTTGAATTATGAATGTAATGTGTATATTGTAGATGTTGTTGTTGAGTTTTTAAGTGAGAGTTGTTGTTATTTTCACATTTGATTAAGATTAATTTAATGAATTTGGTGGATTTTGTTTGGATGGAAGATTGTTAGGGTTTAGGGATTATGGTTCATATAGTTAACGATTTTTTTGTCACTCAATAAACAGTTAAAATGTTTGTACACCGGCCATACATACTTAATTTGTCATGGAAGCAAGTATGTAATAGAGAATGTGTAATGAACACATTTGAGAACAAGTCGGACGACACTCTTGTTATTGATAGTAGGTTGTCATATGATGAGTTGCTTGATATTATTTGTTGAAGCTCGGTCGGGATCACGAAATAGCTAGAAAACTCCACATTTTGTTAATTTTCGAGACTCACGGTGTAAGGCGCGTCATGAAGATAAAGAATGATTCACATGTGGGATTATCTACCACCTTGAGCCAATGATAAGTGTGTATTTGTACATAGACACGGAGGATATCACTAACCAAGAAGATGGGAATAATCATTATGGCATTCCAACAGGGAAACGTGGTTGTTGTTCCCAAATTCACAAATAAGATGGGACGAGTAACTTTGTGAACAACATGCACGGTGGTGGTCCAAGGCAAGAACAAGTAAGTAATTCACGGGTTGATGAACAAGATAGTGGAAGTTTCTTTGCACAAGATGATCATATGGATGAAGATGACTCCGATTACGTAGCTCCAAGTGAAAGCTCGGAAGCATCCCTCTTCGGATAGTGATGATGAGGAATGTGATGATGAAAAATTGGTGAATGAAGAAAGGAAATTCAATTCTCAGGTGCTATGTGCATAAAAAAATGAGTGAATAGAATGCCTCTTATGTTTTCAAGGATTACCTTGATAAAAAAATGTAGGACGAGACCCCCCGGATGGACATTAAAGTTTGTTTCAAACCCCAAGGAGAAGCGAAACATGCCGTGAAGTGGTGGAACATCCACAATAAAAGGGAGTTCAAGGTTATCGCGAGTAACACTACGACGTGGGTGGTTCGATGTAGGACATTAGATTCCCCCCCCCAAAGATTGCGAACCTGAATGCAAATGGAGGATCCGCGTGTCATTCGGAAAGCATGGGCTACCATCAAATAGTGAAATGGCAGTCGGCACACAATTGCTTGAGGCTGGTTAACGATAATGACAACGTTTTGCGGACTCAGTGTTCATTTCTAGACTAATCATGAGAAAGGTTGAGAACAACGTGGATTACATAGTTCGGTGCAAAAAGATGTGAATAACTTGGTAAAAGTGAATGTCCCCTACAAAAGGGCGTGGAATGGGAGGAGGAAAGCCATAGAGGCGGTTTATGGCGATTGGTCCTCTAATTTTGAAGAACTTCCTAGGTAAATTTCAATTGTGATAATTGTCAATTAATTTTTTTTTTTTTGCTGTTACTTGTATTGGCATGTATAACTCGGATAAACTTGATGTGTAGGTGTATTGTCTCATCACTGCATTGGTGGAACGATGGAGACCAGAGACAAACTTTCCACTTCGCATTCAGAGAGGCAATCGTGACATTGTAGGATGTGGAGTCCTATTTGGTCTCCGGGTCGATGGGGACATGGTTTATGGTATGGCGCCTAACTGTGGTGTGACGCAATGGCGGTCAATATGCCAAGACATGTTGGGATTCACCCCTGCCTTGGGTCGAATTATTAAAAATACACTTAAGATTTCCATTATAGAGGCGGCGGCGCTCCATGCAATCCCTGAAGGTAATTTGTTATTTATTTTTTTTAAAAAAAATGTTTTGAATTTACTACTTTTTGGCCAAAAAAAATATGTTAAGTTTTGAAGTGTTGTATTTTGTAGGTTCTTCGGAGATTATGTATCAACAAAATGCTCCTGTGGTTTATGGGTTGTTTTATATTTCCGGACAAAAGTCAAAACAATATTGGTTTATATTTATTGAACCATTGGGCGAATTTTGATGCTTGTGTAAAGCTTAGTTGGAGATCTGCTCTCCTTACTTACTTGTATTATAGTCTGTGTGAGGCTAGTAACCACGATAAACGTGATATAACCGGCTATGTATATCTTCTGCAGGTATGTAGCTTGAATCAATACGATCGAATTCAATTTTTGACCATTTATACCCGTATTAATTATTAATATTTATGGTTTTCATTGTTGATTTAGATTTGGGTATACGAGCGGATCCCGAGAGTCATGAGTATTAAAGAATTTGGATGACAAGGACGTGGATGTTCTATTGGGTTGTCCGAAAACCCCACAAAATTGACAGGATCATGAGACAGTTTGGCTACGTTCAATAAATTCCCAAAACCCCTATAATTTTCAGTATCCAAGAGAATCGGTTGGCTCACGAACACAACATGTCTGGTGTAACCGAGAAAAATTGGATGGATCACAATCAAAATGTACGCCCTCATTAGAGTAGGACAACCCGACACCTTCCTAGGAATTTGGTGGAAGGAGAGCCCGTTGGAGGACTACGAAGAGTCATTCAACAACAATTCGGTGAAATTGATATCCAATCCAACAAATTACACACCAGTTAGATATGAGACTTTCTCGACCCGGGCGGAAGTATGTGTAAGTATTTATTTACAATTAATCTACGTATAAAAGTGTATTTTAATCTATTTCAACAAATTTTGAATTATACTCTTTTACTTAACGCATCATTTTATTTCCAGGCTGAAGTGCTGAACAATATCCGAGTTTAGGCCATGACATTCCGAGAAAACCGTCATGCAGCCGGTGACCTAGACGACAAACTCAAAGTTGTGCTCAACGAGATTGTGGATCAAAACCATGCTTTTTTAACTCTTGAAAAGACGATGAGATGGAAATTGAGGATTTTCAAATCCTTATGGATTTTGAACCCTCTCAACCCTCACAACCTCCCCGCAGTGAAATAATGAAACTGTGGCCAAAAGAGAAAATTTGAGGAGGAAGAAAGCAAAAGATGGGGAATTCACCTAGGCCATCTCAACCGCAACATCTCGCGGAAGGTTCGAGCCAACTCGAGCAAGAGGATGTGAGAGGAGAGAATGTGGGAGGAGGGGACGATGTTGGTTCTTCGAGAGGATCTCACACCCCGTACGAAGAAGAGACACCTCTCACCATTACTCTAGGAGGAGACTCGTAAGTCCTAAACGTAGAGCCACTTGATACAATTAGGCCAGAGTCGCAACAACCTTTTGTTCGAAAATTCGACAGACCGCGCAACCCACCGGTTACTTTTACCCTGCCCACTATTCCTAGGAGAGGGAAAAAATGATTGTACATTAGTCTTTTTATGATTTTTGGATGATTTTTTTTTTGCAAAATATTAATTTTAGTTTTTTTTGGATGATTTTGTTATGGAAATCATTTTGTTTTGTTATCGAATCTTTCCTCTGCTGTAATTTGTTGTTGGTGCTGTTTAAACAGGTTTCACCAGTCCAAATTTTTTTCCCTTTATATGGTAAACCTCGGATTAGCCAAATCAGAGAGTTAGCATTTTGTGAAGGTTTTGGATTTCCGAAATCCGAGAGTGACTTCAGAAAAAGCATCCGAGAGCTTAACCTATCAGTGAAACATGGAAGACCCGGATTACCGAAATTCAAAAGAATTTTTGTTGGATTTTCGTAATCCGAGTCACTTCCCTTATCTTTTTAACACTTAAATTTTTTTTCTAAAACTTAAAAAGATTAATTTATTGTTGAAAACTCAGATTATGGAAATCCGAATACGTTGGTTTTGGATTACGCTTATCCGTGTCTAGTCAACTTTTTTTTTCCGAACACATAGATTATTTTTCCAAAAATAAAATTATCTTTTATTTTTGACATTCGG